GCTCTACTTCAATNGCAATAAGAAGCATAAGAATCAGCCTTGAATAACTTAAGAAGTGCTTAAAGCCGACTCGGAACGTACCAGCAAACGTGCAAATATGATTAAATTGATGGAATGTTAAAACAACAAATGAACTCGAAAATTAACAAAGATGATCATAAAAATGAACACAGCTCGTTTAAACGAATCACTATTAACATCGTTTCTTTAGCGATTTTTGAACCCTGCTGAAACAATCGAATCAATCCAATTCAATTGTCAATCTTACATGTTTCGTTACTGAATATCAATCTTCTCAAGAAGTTGATCGATTTCGAATCCCATCTCATATAATCCCTTACAGTCATACATTCATTCTTAGCCATAACCGTCGATCTATTATTAATCATGAATACCACTGAAATTCTCCTTCCCCATCGAGTGAAAAGCATTCAGCATTGATGATATTTTATTGCACGACTAGGTGAGAGTACAATAAGAGCCACAAAGGCATTCATGAACACCTAAAGAAATCTTTTCTTTTCAGCGAAACTTTTAGAATTCAATTTAAGTGTGGATGGGTTCGGAAGAACATAATCGCCATATTGAAGGCAGTTTCCTTTGATGTCGACAATTCAAATTCAATCTATGATAAATTTCCTGCGAGTTGAGCCCAACAAAAAATGCTCCATGGCAACGCATGCCGTCATATCTTTGTTTTTACGCTCATCTTCAGCAGTTCTCTCAAGCATTGAAATTTGACGTGGTACCTATTGAAGTGTTAATATTTCATTTTAAAAATATAACTCAATGCTCATTTCTTAAATCAGTTAGCGTCGATATTACCGACAGATGAATTGAATGAATTCAATGCTTTTTTCATCTATTATTGATCGTTATTGGAGATGAAAATTTGCATTTGATCGCATTGTTTACTTGTTCGATTGTGAGCAATTTCACATTATACACAGCGTTTCACGAAAACTCAAATAGACTTCACCTAGGCTCATTTACAGATTCACCAGTGATTCGCAAGCCCATGGACAAGCATAGCTAAATCGTTGACTGCTTATTAACTGTAAACAAATAAATTTGTTGTTGTCGGTTGTTCTTAACTATGAACCATCAAACACTTTCAGAAACGAGACGTTTATCTTGAATCACTCCTGAAATTAATTGCTCATTGAAGACGATTTATGCTGATCTCTCGTGTTCTCCTCTACGCTAATCCTAAGCACATTCATAACTTCAAATGAGCACAAGTAATTTATGTAAATTAGCAAAAGCAACGACACATTTTAACTCAATGCTCGATTCATTCTCTTTCCATTTCCCTTCATCACTTCATTCTTGGGACTACAATTCAATCTATTTCACTAATGACGTCTTCATCGTCGCACTCTCCCCTTCCTCTTTTTTGTTTTACCAATAGCTGAAGATTCGAGGAATCCAAGCAATCAAAAAGCAGAAAGAAGTGAAACATTTTCCCATCAGCCAAGCAGCCCCTGGGACAGAGCTTCATTCTGTCGATACATTTAAGAGTAGCATTTCTGCTCTCTCTGGAATACGAACCATAATTGATATTTGATCGCTTCTCAACTGAGCCATTACAGCCAAATAGAAATGTAATTACTCGATAGTAACAAAATAGCTCAAGTGCATCATTTATGAACATGATAATGACAACACAAACATGAATAAATGAGTCAACGTAAACGAAACGAGGAGCACATATTGATCCTTACATATATCATAATCACAAAACAATCAATTGCAATTACGTTCAGATCAGAAGCGGTAATAATAATAATATGTAATTCGCATGTCAATATGTATAATGTGCATAATCTAATGTATTCAACATATAATACGTATAATGTAGTACAATGCAATCTATTACTATCTGGCGGTAACAGTGAACTAGATTCAGATTCGAGCTATTATGAGCCTATTTGTGGCTAACGACTCAGTGAGAGATGATGCAAGTGATTCTGTTCATGAGAAGCGTTGCATCCTGAATTGCTCGACGCCACTAAAATTGTTTACATGATCATTGTCGTCAAATAACACAATAACACAATCAAACAAACACCAAGACTGATGCATACATCAATCCATTTGCCTTTCATATTGGCTTTATTTTCATCTATCATTGCTTATATGATCAACGATGACTCACTAATGTTAATAGTGTCAATTTGACAGCAACCCTCGCATTGTTTTTATTAGCATTATTACTAACTTTATTATGTGCTGTTATTGTTAGGATTAATATGCAGAGCTTTGTTGCTATTTCTTTTCATAACATTTGTTGTCGCAATTAAATCGTCAATTTATTCAAATAAACAGGCGGCACTTTCTGCACACAATCCAAATACCTAAATCATATCGATTATCCGCAATGCTCAGTAGATCCTTAATTAAGTGCTTAGGCCAACAGGTCCAACGTAGCTCTCAAGTTGATTTCAGCTCCAATTTTGGCCAGTTTCATTTCATTCAGTGTCAAATTCTCTTAGACTGCGCTCGTACATATGCAGCCTAAAGTTATTTGAATATCGCTTTCGTTTTTTTGAGATGAGAGATCCACTGGTGAGATGCGTTTTTAAATTGCGCTCGACTAAAGTTGGATACGGTGACAACATATGGGCAAAAGAACTGAAAACAACAGCTATCAAAGTTTGTAATTTCTCTGGAGTCAATGCATTCCCATTCATGTGCTCAATTATGAATAGCATATGATAGTAATGAAACGCATCGCATTCAATCATTACGAACACTATTAAAATGACTCAACAACTAAGCAAACGCAACTATTTCGCTCTTGTGAGCACTCACCAAGAAGTTTCACACTCAGTTATCTACACGCTGCTCACAACTCTCCAAAAATACAAAAATCTCTCGCACTGAAATTTCCTCGTATACTGTATGTCTCATCGCACCGAAACAACAACAAATGTGAATTGAAATTTCTAAATATAACGCGAAATGTTTGTTTTGGATGGAATGAATCGCACTTTTTATCTCAACATAAACGGCGATGATTTGTGCGCTACAATTCAACCAAATTACGGCGCCAAAGTGCCCATAACAGTGACATCAGTATGGTGATTATCAATTTGATGCNAAGACGCACAATTCCTGGGCATGTTCGAACACAGACATATGTGTGTGTGTGTTTAATGCGCAACAGCTGCCCGTTGGTTGGTTTCATCATCTTCGGAATTGGATCGTATAAAATTTTATCAATCTGAGGAGCCCACTTTCAGTGCGGTAATTCGATTTTTATTACTGTACGCAGCACTCGAATGATCAGTCTAAATAAAAAAAAATCAATCAAATTGGATTACATAATAGATCAGTAACCACCTATAACATACTCCAAATGATGAATAATGCATACTTATTGGAGCGTATCAATGATCGACAAGCGATATGGTTCGAACGAATGCCTCGAATGTGAGGGTCAAGACAACGGATAACGCAGAAGATAATTACAACTCGATGCAGGAAAAAGCTTATATCAATGATATCTGAATGTCTCATCTTCCTGTTGATGAATGCCTCATCTCTATGAACGCATCCAATATTGCGAATCCTCTAATTTATTCTTATGACAACATTATTGGCCAAACCAAAGTTGTGAGTAGTGAAGGCAGTCGTTTCGCTAGATGCTTACTGAATTGTGCAAATACTGGAAGTTTTGCATTTAGGACTAATGAAAACGATGTTTATTCAGTTGATTCAAACAGATTGCATGGATCATTATTAGTAACACCACGCATGGTAAGGTCTGAGCTTTCATCAAATGCCGCATAGAAACAAATCCCATAGAGCAACTCTGACAAATTCATTTCATCAAACTTTATTCGCCGGTTACACTCAAAACGGCGTTATTCAAGTTCATGAATGAAGAGTAATCCGAAGGGAATTTGATACGACTTCGAGCTCATATCTGACACCACATCGAGTGGCGATTTATTTATGCTTTATGTTCAAACGTTGGATTTATGTAAATTGTTGGTGATGTCTTTCATTAAATTCCACGATTCAAAGATCAAAAATTTGGTCTTTCTTTTTCAGACCGTTGTATTTTTAGATGATGAATACACGGCATGCGTGTCGAATTGATTTTTCGACCTCAAACAATTAAGTTTCCGGGAGATGATCCGAAAAGGAGAGAAGCGAACACTAGAACAACGATCTTGATCAATAAATCTTTATCATGAGATGACTGGAACAGAACATCAATCATATTGTGAACCGATTCCAATCATCCCTTTCGCTCATTAATGATTTATGATTTCATGATATGTACAGTCGGTCGCATTGTTCTTGGAGGCGAAATTTGAAATTATTTCCGTCGACAATCATAATGATGATCTTCTAATCAATGATGTATATTCACATTTGCGCTAAACGTTCTTCTTAGAGGGATGTGAGACGCACTTCAGACTTCGGCAGAAAGCGATTACTCGATTCGGTTCTGTCCTGAACGTTTAACGACATTCACAAATCATATCAGTTGTCTGCACATTCTAAATTCATATAATGTCATATACGATCTCGCTCGACACACTAAGGATTGGCTCATTAAAAAATCACTGCTTCAATGGATATTGCTGTAGGAGGGGCAGTGGAATGACATGACGACAGGTAATAGGAAACAATATCAGGACTTGTGAGAGAGCGAGTTTGATTGATGGTCCGTGAATGACGAATATGTACGTATGTGTTCGTATAATGACTGCTTGATGAGAAGGAATGAGGTGGAGGTGTGATTAGCATGAGAAGTCACGATTCAAAAAGCGATCATTCTGAGGCAGCCAAGGCAACGTGAATCTTTGGATGAAGCTGAGGTTGAACTATCAGACTAGATTAAAAAATGTATGTAGCCATAATGTTCCGGATGTCAAGCACCAAAACGATGATGCATGAGGCCATGTGAGGTGTGAGTAAGACGCTCCATGATGAAGCTGCTGTTTCCAACAATAAGAAAGATTTTTCAGAGTAGAATTAATAAATTAAACCCTTAATGGACGACCGGATGCGTTTCGATGGGATTTTCGATTTTGCTCTCGAACCAATTTGATCATAAAACAGAGTATGATCAGCAGGGTCAGCGTAATACTAATCAATACGCCGTAAACAAGTGTTTCATCAATTTCTTGTTCATCTGCAATAAGAAATTGGTTGCATTCAATTCAGCATTCTGATTATGAGAATGCGTATTATTTTAATTATTCACAATTAATAGTTTCCGTAGCTTTCCTCCGTAGCATACAAATGCGAGTGTTTGCTGCTAGCAGACTAATTGGTATGTTTGTTTTGCATTCAGTTACAATCTGAATGAGTTACTTCTTGGAAATGCTCTTGAATAACGTCACATAGCGTTATCCAAATCGTTGATTCGCGTTATATCGCTTCGCAAAAATGCATCGAATCCTCACAAAGTTTAGCATCAGCCAACTTCAGCCAAACAGAACAAAAAACTCCTCAAAGCATCATTTCATTCGGTTTCCCCAAACCCAATTACTCCGATTAAAATACAGCTCAATACTGTTCATCAACGTTGTCGCTCGAAGGCGCTTTATTACAGAAAATAAATTGACGAATGAATTTCGTTGGCAACCCCAAAAAACCGCTGAAATGTGAATTTTTGTTTGGCCGTCTAAATTTCGTGTTGTTCATTGTTTTAAGCAATACAAATGTAATTGTTTATGTGCTCTGAACAGCTGCTGCCCTCACTCAATTTACGCCTACTTGGAACATTCATCTAAACGCAGATAAAAACTCTTTCACTAGACTTGTCCTAAATATATTTCAAAAATCTGAACTTTTTTGGGTTTGCATGAAAAAAATTGGGTTTCAATGGAACTCAGATTTTGAACCGTTTTAAAACGAGAAACATTTCATCTTTTTCGCTCTCATAAAATCAATTACTTTCATCTTATGATTAATAATCCTATTGTGATATAACGTCTCACTGATGAAATCCACATTAAGTGTGCCGTCGTACCTAAAAATAACGTCTATTCGGTACGATTTGACTCAGGAATGAATTACCTGATGATTTCAAATACGTTTTAACGAACTTCCTAACATTTTAATAATTGAATTTTAGCAAATGTGGTACAGATTGAAACTTCACGTTCCTTCTTTTAGGTTCCATTTTTTTGGCTGAAGTTGAGTCGAAACAAACCCATCGAAAGCTTAATCATAAACTGATGTTTGGGCAAGCTGCAGTTAATCTGAGCTGAGTATAATCGAGAATTGCTGAACTCAGGTCTGTTGAAGCTACATGTATCATTTAAGAAAGGTGCTTTTAGCCAAGTGCGCAACAAACACCGCGTAGTGTTGTGTTGTACCCGTANGAATCGTTCCAGTAGCCTGCATCTGTGCATTCCACAACATTGCTACCAATTAGAGTGTGCTCCTCAAAGCATTCAAATGACACTCGTGTTCCTGGCCGAAAAATGCGAGACGCATCCTCCGCGATATAGTCACCGAGGCGAATGTACGGAGTGAGACAGTTCACTGAAATTTACTGATTAGCTGTACATTTTCGAATTCAGTTCGGTGATCGTCATCGACGGACCTTTATTACAGCAAAATATGAAAGAGTTGGTCGTTCATTTGAATAATTCAGTGCTGTAGTAGTAGTAGTAAAGGGAGAAACATCATATGTGCATCAGAAAGATTAGCTGGCAATCGATTTCTCAGTAAAACAGGGAAGAGGAAACTGCAGTCTGTTGTACTCTTTGGTTCCACGGCTCAGCCACATAGCAAACCAAATTTCTATCATTTCTAGTATGATTTTTTGCATATTACATCCCACTAAACGAAATGTGGTATTTCGGTGACATTTAGTTCAGTTCTAGATGGTTAGTTCAGTATTACAATGAAGCAGTACCAAAAAAAANAAAAAAAAGAAACGTTATTATACTATTGAAACTGAGGTTCCATTGAGCGAAAAAAGCGCACAACTTCAATAATTTTGATGTGACATTCATTTTTCGAGCATGATGCGCGCCTGATAAGCATCGTCACTCATCCGATAGTTCTCAAGTCTTTGTTAGTTCGTGTCTCAAAATTTCATTCGCCGAAAAAAATTTTTGTTGATACGTCATCAAAAAACGCTTGCATTCAAGGAGAATATGCATGCATCGTTTTGAGGGAATTTCGATATTTGCTTTTGATTAGTAAAACTGACGTTTCATTGAACAAAGGGGCCATTTTGTTGGATACCAAACAGAGCCTTCAACGATTTGTGATTTCATACAAGTGACCAAAGACGCACCGTTCAGACGGAGTGTTGACGATTTGCAGCTCAGCGATATCTTCATTAAAATTTCATTTCATTTAGCGGATACATTCAGGTTATTGAACAAAAAATTGTTTGCTGCTCAAAATTTTGAATCTCATCAGAAAAGCTTAGAGAATTGCACCATTACATAGCCGCCCGCATTACCGCAGCTCATATTCGAAAAAATCCCATATTTCTCACTACACAATAATGCTTCTAAACAGTTCGGCAGCACGTCAGCAATGATCACTTTCTCCAAGCTCTTACGTAGTTAATAGAAATTGGTTAACGATGAAATTATTTCAAACTTTTTGAGCCGTAATTGCACTGATGAATTTACTGAAGTACTTCAAAAAAAAACTCACTCATTCCACTGTAACGAACTTTCAGCAGTAAGAATTTCACAACCAAAAATTTTTAGCAATAACTTTCATACTGAGGAATTTTAGACGTTCATATGAAGAATAATTCAAAGGTTTAGTAGATTCAAGAAGACCTGAAAGCCAATTGGGAGTGCTTGGTCAGCTTCAGGACAGTTTGCGTTCGTTTGACTGCATATCGATGCGTTGATCGCATAGTTCAAATATGAAGGAATCTTCTGAAGAGTGCACGTCGAATGTGGTACTAAAAACAAAACTTGTTCAATTCGCTCACTGCTGAATGGATTTGTGCATTCGCTTCATCAATGAAAGCTTACAATTGTTGTGCAAATTCGATTCTGTAGATTATTTTCGATAAGGACTATGCTGACGATAGAAGTCGTTCGATGAGGCTAATAAAATTGCTATAATAGATTTGGTGTGTTTCTCAGAACCTACTGTAACCTCTTCCATACTGACGGCTAATATTCCTGAATGAATCATTCAACCGTGTATGTTTCGGGGTATCTTCTTGTGAGTTTAGACTGAGATTGAGTTTGTCTGACTTCACTGAGTGAATAGGAAAATTCTGTTTCTGCTCATCACAGCACGTACACAGCAAAAGCTGTTTCATAATAATGCGGAGAAAATTTCAAAAGTCTGAAATTTTAGGTGATGAGTTTTCCTTGAGAATTTTATGCACAATGACCGCCATCGCAAAAAGTGGCAATGTTGGAAATACTTAGTGAATACGTGTAAATTTCTCAATAAGAAGGGCAATTAAATCGAAACATTCGATGGGATCACTGTTGTGACTCGATCAGCGAAAACCCATCATAATTTATCATCTGTTTTATTTCAGCCAAACAGTTCACTTTGTAAATCAGAAACATCTGTAAACATCAACCCCACAAAAAATATCTCATTCAAGAGCAAATACAACGTCGAACGAATGGTAATACTTCTTATTTTCAAAATGATTACCGATACAGAGCACAGCCGATTATTTTCAACAGGGAAAAATCATGATAACTTTATATTCGAAGCTGAAAAATCGCTCTGAAACTGGCGGGTATTCGAGCGATTTTAGCTTAAGCATTTGTTGGAGAACTAACAGATTCGAATAACAACCGACCAAATGACCAATGATCAGCTCGTTCCAGGAATAGACTTACATGTAAAACACTGAATAGAACTTTCTGACATTTTTTCGAAAGTTAGTTCAGCATCGGAAATCTGGGTGGTTTTGCGAAAACTGGTTTGAAGACTGACATAAATAAATGTTGATAAACGACTGTTCCTGAATCCATGCGATTTGTGACAATGAATAGGGGAGTTGAATTTGAAACTTACTGCATCTCGGGGATTTGTTTTTGAGTTCAGTGTTGTTCACCTCGTAAATCCATCCGCTTTGATCACAACGTAGTTTGTGAGTACCATTCGGTAGTAGACGATCGCTTTCTTGAGCGCATCTTCAAATATGCTTGATTTAATCAACTGAAAACACCAGTGGCATTCGTGAATTGTGAACTAATATGGTGAGCACCATCGATGTCTCAGCACTGAGCCTCATTTCCAGCAGAACAAATGATACAGAAGGTAATCAGTGCATACTGATAATCAACTAGGCACGCATCACTGACCGCAATATAAGCGTTTCGTTATGCTTATAGAATCTTGCTTTCTTGTATTCGTCAATAGCGATTTCGTTCGGGTTCAACTGCGGTGCATCGCAGATTATAATCGTCGCATTTCGAAATGTACATTCCGGCGTGAACGATGCCATGTAGTCCATCATGCCAATCAAAAACCATTCACCTCTCAACGCGATATTGTTAAATGTACAACGCAAGTATGCTGAACGCTAAAATACAATCTTCATATTAACTCATCTATTCCAGGCACTATCCCATCCGGCCTTCAGCCTGAATTGTAGATCGAAGAGACGAAGAAACGAATGACTTATTTCTGTTGATCTGGAGTGAGCACGTTAAAGAAAAGAAAATTTCAACGAAGCAAATAGAACATTTCGTTGCTTTACAAACCAACGGATGAATCAAAGAATCATTCAGTTTCAAGCGTCGTCCCTCACCGCAGTGCAGTTCAATCATTGTTTCGGTAACAAACTAAAAGAAACATTCTTAAAAATATTTGTCTGCAAAATGGAAAAAGCGTTTAAAAAATATATTATAAGGTAACGAAGGTCATGCATTCAGTTTACCTGTCCTTTCGAATTTGGTTCAACGAACGAATTACGCACCGAGAAACGATCACGTAATGTGTTATTCATCAGCGGTGCATCACACCACTGTGGATTCTGCTCCTTTCCCCATAGCATTTTCTCATCACCGTAGTCATCAGTTGGCTCCTAAATTTCTGCATTTTGTTACGACATTTCCGAATAGAGACAAAAGACGCGGTGCTTGGAAGTGCAATAAGTTTAGAGGATTTTGACTCACATCGAAGCATTTTTGTTCATTCTGAATTCTGAAAGAAGCGTTTCTTAAATGGCACACAAATTCTCAGCTAAATTCACAATCACTTACGAAATATTCATCGTATTCTTCTGAATCCACATCTATGAGACCGTCGCTCGAAATAGCATAGAACTGTGAGCAGCAATAAAGCATGATCACAACCGCTACATAGTCAAATTTAGCGATAGCCAACATTGCGCCATAGATATGCACACTTGAGCATCGGGCATAATGCGGAGATTTGTACTTCGGGGAACACAATCTAATGGATTCAATTCAATTACGAAATAGAATAACTTAAAATTTTTAAATTGAATGGAAAATTCGAAAAACTGGTTCACTCAATAATCCATTGATTGATCATTCTATTGATGCACAAATCAAGTCAATTAACAGTGTTTTGTTTGTCGTTTACTGTGCAAAACTGAATCCATTAGACAACGGTTCTGTGTTTCACGAAAAATGCTTCAATATTTGTCAGCTGTCGTGAGATAGCAATGAGTGCGATCCATAAATTCTTTTTACTAAGAATGAGACTGTTTCTACCTTGTAGGAATAGATAAGATTAGCGCATTCAAGCAATGCTTAAATGAGATCATTTCATGCATTTTTCCATTGATACTGAAGTTCGACCGCCGAAACTGTCTCTGATTTCAGCGTAAATTTCTGGGGATAAATTGTCGTTTAGATGTGATATTTATTCATTGAAATGATATGAGTACAACAATTCGACAATGATCAATACAACTTATCTCATTACATCACAATAGAATAGGCGAAAGATATTGCTCGAAATTCGTCTGAAATCTCGCGAAAACTTTTCTTACGTTATGCTGATGCTGAGAGAGTGATCCTCGACAAATTACTGAAAAAAAAACATTCAAAAAAGCGAAGTAACACCGAACTGTTTATCAAACCAAAGCATAATAAAAGCATAAACGGAAAGTAACACAATCACGCAAACGGTATACGATAAGAACGCTTCGCGTGGTGCTGAAACATATGACCACAGTGCGGTCATCAGCAGTATGCAAGTGATTACCGCGAGTATTTTAAGCACTGAATACCGGAAGCGATGATCCTGAAATTAAAGCGGCGATTATATCATTCGAAACATTGAACTGTTGAATAGTTCATTCGGAACGTCTCTATATTTCGGTTAAACAATGTGAACATAAAATCATACAATGTTGCCGTCTTCTTTGTACGGTTCTATGAAGCAATTACGATTTTTCATCGGTATCTTGACACGGTTCGGAACGTTGCGGATAGCGTTTTTAGCACCCTCCCAACGACCTTTTCCCTGCAGTCGATACACATATGGAACGTTTGGGCCAACAAAAAGACGCATCGCAAATCGTGGATCGCAAAAAGTGTACTGAAATAGCACCGTATTGTAATAGCATTAGATAGTGAATGTGGTCTGTAATATATTCAGGAATAACTTAAGCTGTGCAGTGTACAAAACCACGAATGGTGCGCTGATGGTAAAGAAAATAAGAGGACCTTGCAAATTCGTGGTTTACATCCAACCAAAACAGCTAACTCATCCATATAGCTTATATAATCCACTGAGAGTGCATTCCTCGGACTTTTGTAGTAACTGGAAATAATACATTTTCGTTACTCTCTGCATGTTATCACAAAAAGCAGCTTGAAGCAACGAGTGTCGTCTAAATGATCAGAATTATGATCAGAGGATCAGTACAGTACCCGCTAAAAGTATTG